CCCATCACCACATACTGGGGAGCCTTGGGATGGGTTATGTTCAGTTCATCTTGGCCTCTTTTCCAGGTGTCACCATGTTCCTCACACTTTCTGGATACAATATCACTGCCTTTGAGAACTTCTGATGGCTCCCTCTCTTCCCCACTTGGGAGCAGTTTTTCACCTTTTTTTAAAGAAAAGAGTCTCATCCCATTTCAAGCACCAGGAACAAGGACCCAAATGTGGGTTCCTTGGGTGGTAATGGTATTAGAAGTTGGGAAATGCTACCTTTGCAAAACAAAAAAACCAAATAGGTGAAGATCACAAGGAGAAGTTTCTCTAAGGGAATAATACTTATTGTCTGCTGTGACCAAAGGCATTGTGTCTAACAGTTCACCTATGGGAAATTATAGCCATGTCACCAGAAACTAATTATGATCCAAATGAGGCAAAGGAAGCAGACCACCTCATCACCAGTTCTCAGGAGGAGTATACTAGTTCAGAAATGCAGCATTGGTTTTCCAAGACACGGTGCACAAATCGGGGCATCTCCTTAGTCCCAAACCAGGAAGCTCCAAAGAGAGAACCTGGAGGCTAAACAAGTAGAAAAGGAGGAAGTGTGGGTGGGGTTAATACTCTGTATGCCAGGTATGGTGACATAATGCTGTCATCCCAGCATTTGGGAGGCAGAGAGAAAAATGCAGGCGCATAAGGTCAAGGGTATCTTCAATCCCATAGTAATTTGGAGACTAGTCATAGCTCCTTAGGAATACAGTCCAGAGGGCGACCTGGTCTGAAAAACAAAACAACAACAAAAATAAAATCACTTTGTACACCAGATGCCTCATTTGTCATTGTGATCTTGAACAAGCTATTTTAGATTTGTCTAACATTCCTGTCTTTTTAATATTTAAAACATTATTTATGTTGGGATGGGGTGGGAGTAGGCATGGGTGTGCATGTGTGATGGCCTGCTTGTGGTCAGAGGACGGCATTTGGAGTTGGTTCTTCTGTTCCACCTTAATGTGGGTTTTGTGGATTGAACTCGGGTCATTAAGCTTCACAGCAAGCCCTTTTTTTCTGCTGAGCCATTTCACTGTCCTTCCATTTCCTCTTCTGTATACTACAGATGAGATGATAACTCTTGCTCATTTGGGCTAATAAGATCCTGACATTTGCCAGTGACATTGTCCCTGATGATGATAATGCTAAGCTGTGGGTTTGTGTACTTATGGTCTCTCCCCAAACAGATGTTCAAGTCTGAGCTCTGAAGTTTTGGGAAAACCATCCAGTCTTGAGTAACTGAGAGAGAAGGGAGTTTGTATGACAGCTTGACTCCTCATTGAGAACACTGTTAAGACTTGGTTTTTAATGGAGTTTAAAATTCTATCCATTTACAATGATCTTTACATAGAACTGTAAAGGTCTCTGGGAAGCATCTGAGATAGGATTCTCAAAACATTTAGAGATAAATAACCTGGACAGTCAATTTTTAAGAAAATGGAAAATAATGACTGTTAAGAACCCAAGTTTAGCCTTTTAAAGTTTTAATTCCTTTCATAATGATATTGACTTCACCAAGTTGCTAGAACATTAAAGACTCGTAATATAACCTATAGAGAGAACAGTCCATGGGGAGAGAATCTCATGATTATTTTTCCTGATATGAAAAGAAAGTAGTTTTCTTTCAGAATCTACCCATGTGCTGAAAGTCCCCCACAGCCAGGCACTTCTCTCATGCCATGTGAAATCACAGCTTGCCTAATGGGAAACTTGATGAATGTTTTCCTCTGATGTCTCCAGAAACATGGATGTGATTCCCCTGATCAAATCCCAGACTTGCCATCTGGTAGAGAGATATGTCTTTTAAACCTGTTTTGCTCCAAAAACTGAATGGTAAAGAATTCAAGCTGAGTTAAGTTAGGAACGTCTTTGGTACATTTTTGACTACATTTGGTTATCCCCTGAAAAGTTCAGCGTGGCTCTGTGTCAATGATTCCCATTGCAGAAAGGGTCCTGCTGAGTTCTTAGATGTCCGCACCTTACAGGTTCTGCCTCCAAGATTGGAACTTTCTCCTTCCTTGAAAGAGCACACTAAATTGGTCTCACTTTGACCACAGGTAGAAAGAAGATGTATTAATGGAAGGGGAGGAAATATCTAACACGTTGTATGAAATTATCACCGGGGAGGTCATGGTCTTCCAGCAAATATTTGCTCATGTAAAGAAAGTCCCAGAGCTGGCCCCACCCACCATTGCAAGCAGCAATGGTGGCTCAACCAAGGTTCCCCATTTCCCCGTGTGGCAGGATCACTTCTGGGGGAAAATGCTGTGACAGTGTTTGTAGTCTGCTTCTGGCTGGGTTGTTTCTTGATGTGCCTCCAAGAAAAGAGTCAGAAGCAGAGCTAAAAATTGTTTTGGAGGTTGTACAGACTAGAAAAAAGTACGAGCCCAGAAAAAGGTAATTTACCCAAGACCAAACGCCAAATAAATCCTAAGACTGAAGCCCCATGTACTGTTCCTGTGGCTTTGCAGCTCAACAGAAGCTTTAGAAAAACTCAGAATCCAGACTGTTCCACGAAACGGTACCATCCCCTTAGAGACAGCAGGGAATCTGTGTGTACATGGGGTTAGTACCCAGCAATCCAGTCATTAAAATCCTATTTATGTAACACGACTTTGTTATGTATGATGGGGAATAATGAAATTTACTACAGCTTGAAATGTATTTGCATTCATATAACTTAAAAATGTCTAACTTAGGAAAGCAGCTTCATTATCTTTAGTAAAACATGTATTTGTATGTTATAGACTCGTTTTGAAATCATTGTTAAGGCCAGGGTGAACATACAGAAAAGACAAAACAAAAGCAAAAACCAGTTCTCACTCTCAACTTACCAGCCAGAGACAGAGCCTGACCCCAGCAGAATAAGTGTGCTTCTGTGTGATTTTAGCTGTTGAGGTCAAGGGTTTGATTCCTGGGTCAACATAGGGAGGAATGTTTGGTTTGGAACAAGAACAGGAAGATTCCTACAGATGGGAAACACTAGAGCTTTCTCTCAAAAGAAGGTGACTAAGGACAGAGAGCACTAAAGGAGGTAACAGTCTGTGCTGGATAGATAATGTGACAGTATGTGGCAGATTTGAGGACCAAGTGCTTCTATTTGGCCATCTCCCAGGATTCCCTGAGGATGGGCAGGCAGGGTTAGATGAAAGAGCTGTACACATCATGATCATAGTTTTGAATGTTAGCAAAAGTGATGGGAAGAAAGACTTTCTCTTGTGAAATTGCATGCTGCAAACAAAGCAGTCAAGCCAGGTTTGGTGGTGCCTACCTGTCATCCTAGTTCTCAGCAGACTGGCCTGAGTTCAATGCCAGCCTAATTTGTGGAATGAGTTTCATGCCAACCAGAGCTGCATAATGAGATCCTGTCTCAGAAAGACAGTGGGTGGGAGAGTCTAGGAAGATGGTTCGCTCAGTAAAGTATCTTCCCTGCAAGCATGAGGCCATGAGTTTGTATCTCCAGAGCCCATGTAAAAATCTGCACCTGATGGTACAGTTTTGTAATTGCAAGTGATGGCAAGGTAGGAGGTGGAGAGAGCTGGATCCTCACTGGCCAGCTGCCCTAGGCTATTTTGCAAAGTTCCAAGCCAAAAAGAAATGCTCTCAAAAAGTGGGCGGTGCCCCATGAAAGACACTGGGGTTGTCCTCTGACTTTTACACATATGTGTATGCATGCAGCTGCAAACACAAACACATACATGAACAAAAACAATAAACAAGTAAGAGAGTGAATGGATAGGTCAGTGCAAATCAAATCAGGCTGTAAAGCTTGAGTTCTTTTTTGCAGTTCCTTAACATCAGACACCTTAGTGAACACCTCATAGAGGAGACTGATGATCACTGGAGTCTAGTTGCAGAGCTGAGAGGAGTCTTAATGTCCTTATCTGTAAATAGAGATCATGAGACAGCTGTAAGAAGCACACAGGTTCAGGCTTATTAACAGTGGGTAGAACCCGGAATATTCATCATCATAGAGACTGATGTGGAAGAAGGTGGCTCCAGATGCTCGAGGTTCACTTTAACATCTGCAGCTAAGAGGAGTTTCTAGTGTTGGCTGAATCTGTATCGCTTCATCCAGTCTTCTCATGTGAACAGCTTTATCAGCAACTGGCTAAGAAAGCTGTCAGTTAGCAAAGTACATTGATTGTATTCTTGAGAGGAATCTCTGCAGATTCCGTTGTCCAGGAGAATGTGGAAAGTGAAAACTTGAGTAGGCAAAGTGGCACCTCAAAAGTGGCCATGAGCTATTGGTTAGTCCAAAGTAGAAGAAAAAATACAAAGATTCACAGATAGGAATTAGGAATACTAATTATTACCCCTCCCCTTTGCCTCCTTCTGTTGACTGACAGATCCCTACAAAGCCAGAGAAAGTATATTTCACTTTTAATTTGCTTTACCATCGTAACTCATGGTTCATAAAATTTCCTCATTTTTTAGTGACTGAAGGTATTTTTGCCCTTGGATTTTTTTTTTTTTGCCATTGTGCCAAATAAAAAATTTAAAATGCAGTTAAGCAGTGTCAATTTGGCTGTATTTAAAGATTATGTCAAAATTAGATTTATCTCTAAAATTTCCATTTCTGTAGAAAAAAAAATGACCATGGGTCCCCATGGACTGTCCTATCCAAGGTGCTTCAGCCACTTTGCAATGGTTTTGTGATCATTTGCTCATGAGTGTGATATCTTCATCACTGCTCAGCACCTTTTCCTGTCCTGAGATCAAAATGGTGGGTCAAGAGTGATGGGGGAAACCACGATGCTTAGTAGTGCCGCTGGCACATTCATGGCCACTGGGATGTGTATTCCATGCTAACCCAGACAATGGCTGCCACTTCATCTATACTTTCTCATCAGTCCCAAGCCATAGACTACAATAAAGCAAAGTATTTGAGAACCGGAAGGGCCCTGTTGAATACCCTATAGACTAATAGGCTTGCTCTCTGTGTTTTATTCTGTTAGTGCTCCTATATCCCACCCTGTAAGAGAGAAAACCAGAAGAACTCGGAAAGTGTCATGAACTGGCAACAGTATTGGAAAGATGAGATCGGTTCCCAGCCATTCACTTGCTATTTTAATCAACATCAAAGGTAAGTCAATGTTTGTGTGTGCCTGTTAATGTTGCTCGTGATTTGTCGCATGGGTCAATGGGAGTTTGTGCCCATCTGAAGAAAGTGCAACTTGGAGGTAATCTCAAGCTCTTTACAGCCCATGATCTCCATTCTCTCTACCATTAAGAGGCCACGTCCTGATCTTCTGGATGGGAGGCATGTAAAGAACATACAGGGCAAAATGAGAGGAGAGGGGAGAGGAAGGCAGGGAAGGAATAGGGAAGGAAGTGTGTGTGTGGGGGGGGACCTGTACTGTAGATACTCCCTGTGGATACACTCCAAGTGGTGGTGATGTTGCTAAGGAAATTGCACACTGTCAGTGTGCTGTAAGACTTACCAACCGATTGTGCATATTGTGCAGTGTTTGGACAAAATCAGTTCTTAACCCTTCTTTGTCCTTTCCATTCTGATAAAGTATCAAAATGTATTCCCACTTTCCAAATTCTGCCTGCCTTGGAAGCTCTCGCTGTACCATACTTACCATGTCAAGATGGCCCTTTGGATCAGAAAACACTTGCCTGCCCACCTAGAGTGGTTATACCAAGTTAATTGTCAACATAATCTCTCTCTTAGTGAATGGCACTGACATTCATTTGTTCACCTAGCCCAGAACCATACAAATGGCCCTTCATTAGTTTCCTCCTTTGCTCTCCCTGTCATTGTATTTGTCATCCTGTGGATGTCCCTGTGTGGTGACACTTACATCAAATTTGGATTCTATTTTCTTAGCTCTATTGCTGTGGTTGTCTGATATGTCCTGTAGCCTCTATGTTGTGCCACACAAGCCATTCTCCATGCTGCTGCCCAGGCCAGCTCTCGAGCACAAGAGTCTAATCAGGTCACAGGTAGTTATCAGAAGAAAGTCTTGCATGGTCTCTATGTCAGGTCCCTGTGGCTGCATAGCATCACACCTTAAACCTCATGGCTCACTGCAGCAGTGGGTTGGCAGGGCTCATGTGCTGGTAGGAGCAGGCTAGGATAGGTGTGTGGTCCACAATGGATATTGGTTATTTGTCCCGACCTGCAGGACATCAACCTGGGGCAAGAGAGTCAGGGATAGGGAATGGGGACAAGAGACGCAGAAAGAACGACCACAAGACAGGATTCTGATCAAGTGGCAAACTTTACTTTTCTCAGGCTAGCTTATATAGTCAGGATATGGGGAGGGGCAAAATGGGTTGTTTGTACACCAGGTGTTGGTATAGGCAGGGTATTAGGAAGGCACAAAGAGGATGTTTGGCAGGGTAAAGAGTTCATGAGTAAGAGGTCCAGGAAGGGTTGCTTAGGTCACTGAGCCTATGGGTGGAGGACTGGGTCAGGTTGTTTCTTTTCTTGAGCTGAGATTCTAAGGAGCTGCTATGTAAAGGTTAACTATGTGGCCTGCCAAGCATGGCCTAGGATCTCATGCCAAGCCCTGAGATTTGGCCCCCAACATATTCCCCCTTCCTTGTATAAGAAGAAGTGGCCAAATTTTTTAGCAGAGGGGGATAGAGGCCTGGTCCCCAATTGGAGAATCTATGTGGATTTTATAAAGGACATTTTTCTCTGACCTTAGGGATGGCTTCTTGAAGCCATCTGAAAGGCAGGACTGTCGGGATACCTTTTGTGGGGGTGGGGAAGCTTTAGGACATCAACCCCATTGCTCGCAGGCATATTCCTCAGAAGACGAGGTCTCCTTGCAGTACCATCCAGGTCTGCACCTCTGAAGCTGGCCGTGGGGAAGTGGGTTAGTATTGGACCAGGACAGGCTTAGTGGCAGAGTCCTCTTGTTACTTGACAAAGACCACGAGTCGATTAAAGACTCAAGGACCAAAGGAGATTAGCAAGAGGAGCCCAATCAAAAGTCCAAGGAAGGAAGGGAGGAGGGTGTTTAACCATGGGGAAGTAGTAGGAATGGGTAGAAGGAAGCAAAAAGGAGTAACAGGAGGTTATTTTCCCATACGAGGAAGCCAGCCAAGCCAATTGTTGAGTCGGTGTCATCGAGGTCATTTTCAGGGAGGCGTGTAGAATGGGTTGATCAGGACATTGGACAGCACTGTCAGACACAGGACTGTCAGCATGTGTTTAGACATACAGCCATCTTCTCCTGACAATGAAGTTACAACACAACATAACGATATTGAAAACACTGTACTTGCTGTCGAACCAGAAACCGAAACTGCAGCAGCAGAAATAATTACTGAAGTGGAAATTCCAGCACTTAATAAATGTCCCAGAAAGTACCCCAAAACAAAGAAGCACTTGGTCAATGAATGGTTAAGTGAGAAGAATGAGAAGACAGGACAGCTTTCAGACAGCTTTCAGAAAGGCTTCTGAGCATAGCTACAGATCCAGAGGTGTTAGCTACGCAGCTCAATTCTTTGTCAGGTCTCACTTACAGCGCCCATGTATACTCTATTCCAAGACATTATATTAGATTTACATCACCATTCCTTTTGGAAAAAGAGAAGAAAAGAAACTACTGAAAACATATCTGGCTCATGCAAAAAGCAAAAGTGGAAACGCCAAGAGCGGCGATTTGGATTTTTTCAGGACCAGAAGTCTCATAATAGGAGTCCCTCCTGAGATCCACATCTCCTCCCCCTCCTGCATTGCAGAGCCAGCTTAGTATCATTGTCAACCTTAACCTCTCTAACTCCATGACCTCACTTGCAACTTCCCAGCATTCCCCAGGAATTGACAAGGAGAACGTTGAACTCTCCCCCACCATTGGCCACTGTAATAGTGGACAAACTCACCATGGATCCACAAGCCAGGTGCAGAAACAAAGAAGCACTGGCAATTTCAAACATAATAGCATTAAAAAGATTGTGTGAAGCTTTCTTTCTTTTACTTTTTTAAACCAACCTGACATGGGCTTCTCACTAGTGACCCTTCCCTAACCTGGCCCCGGCCCACACTGTACTGCTGCACTTCATGTCTTATGAACCAATCTGGTCTTCGATGTTTTCAGACGATCAACTCTTGGAGGCAGTTGCCAACTCTAGCCCATTTCTTTTCATTAATGGTTCCTTCCTGGGGAACCATAGACAAAGATCCCCAATAAAGAGGAAGAACTTTTTTGTTTCTTTCTTTTTAACCTGAGTTTCTCGAGCCTTGAGGGATTCTTTGATCCCAGAAAGATATAAATCTTCCTTGTTAATTTTATCAGTTGTTTTTCTTAACCCAAGTTCCCTGTGTCTTGAGGGATTCTCTGATCCCAGAAAGAAATGTCTTCCTTGCTAAATGCTTGTCCCATTACTCACCTTTTCCACGTAGGTGGTGCTCATGAACCGAAAGTCCCATGCGCTGGGCAGGCTGCTGGGTCTTCCTCCAACCAAGGCTCACAATTGACCTTGTCGTGAATGCCTCACTGCATGGACGGGCCCGTTCCTCTAATGAGCACTGAAGTTCCCAGATCCCCAACTCTATCCAGCCCCACGTTGGGCGCCAGATGTCCTGACCTGCAGGACATCAACCTGGGGCAAGAGAGTCAGGGATAGGGAATGGGGACAAGAGACACAGAAAGAAGGACCACAAGACAGGATTCTGATCAAGTGGCAAACTTTAACTATGTGGCCTGCCAAGCATGGCCTAGGATCTCATGCCAAGCCCTGAGATTTGGCTCCCAACAGGCTCAGTGGTTATGGCAGTTTTCTGGTCATAAAATGTCTCTGGCCAAACCCTATTTTTAAGAGTCACATTAGATTCCAAGGCCGGGTTACTAACCACAACAATTTTTAAATTTTGAACAAAAATAATTGGGCAGATTAGTGAAAACTCTCTCTAGAAGGTATTTAGGCTGAAAGATTGTCTATACAAATCTCCTTTCCCTTAAAAGAAATGTTGATCAACTGGATTTCAGTCATAGGCAAGGAGATGGAGGCAGAATGGCCAGAGGCCAAGAGGAAAGTCAAAAGAACAGCACTCTGAAAGGGAATGCTGTCCTGAAAGGCCTCTTGGACAAGAAGGAGGCCAGCCAGAACTGTTCTCAGAAGGGTTAGGCCAAGTGAAGGAAATTAGTGAGTGTGCCCAACTGTAAAGCTCTCTGTGTTGGAGAAAACTCATGCTGAAGAGGCACTCTAGAGTGAAGAGAAAATATTTGCCAATCACATATCCAGTAAAGAGGTTATTTCCAAAGTGTGGAAAGAGATCCTGCAACTTGAGAGCAGTAACAATAGTGATACAATTTAAAAATGGGTTAATGACTTGAAACATTTTTCCAGGATACATAGAAAAACTGAAGGCTTGTAAACAACTATTTATATTGTTTATCATCCAAGAAATTCAATTCAAAACCACAGTGAGTTATCACTTTACCCTTCCAGGATAGCTATTATTATTTAAAGAGTAAAACTTGAAAAACAGCTGTTGGTGATGGTGTGGGGAAACAGGAGGCCCAGCACTGTTGGGAGGAATATACAGTGGTGTAGCCGTGGTGCAAGGCAGTGTGGCGATTCCTCCAAAACATTAAAAGTGCCACACCACTAAGTAATTCCCCTTCTGAATATTAATTTCAGAAATAATACTTGAAATTAAGATACAAAAAGATCATAGTACTTTTGTGTCTGTTCCAATATAACGTTGACAATAGCCAAGATATAGAAACACTCTGAATATCCATGGACAGATGAATGGATGAAGAAAACATGGTACTGTGACAAGTACTGGACACATGGCTGCAGTCTCAGCTACTTGGGAGGCTATAGCAGGAGGACGGATGGAGTCTGAGAACCTAAGACCCACCTGTGCAACACAGTAAGATTGTCCGCCCCATGTCATCTTAAAACAACAAGAAATACGAACAAAAGACAAAAGAAAGTGTGATATATACATGGAATGGACTGCCTTTAAAAAGGATGGGATTGTGAGAGGCTCAGCTGGTAAATGTGTTTGCTACCCGGCCTGATGACTTGAGTTCAATATCTGGAAATTTCGTGGCAGAGGGAGGGAAAATTGCCCTTTGACCTTCACTAGCATGCCATGGTGAGCATACCACA